AGCAAAAATTCAAAACCTGGAAGCAACCCCATGAGGTTAGAGCTGATCTTAGCTTCTCCAGTTCAGTCTCTGAAGAGAGCAGACTCAAATCAATGACCGGAATCGGAATCATTGGAGGAGAGGAACCCACGGGGCCAAAAGCACTTTCTTTCACAAAGAATTCCGGCGGTGGGTCATTCCCATTGACGGCTATTTCTTGAGACGTTCCCTCAATAGGAAAAACCAGGCCCGCCATTGTTGGAACTCTGAATTTGCCCGGAGAAGTAGAGGAATCCATTTGAGTCTGGTGTTTGCCTTGTATATGAATGAAAAAGATGACCACTTTTGTGAGAACTTTGCTGGGTTTTGGTACTGATGAACCTTTAGATTCGCCAAGTGTATAAACTTTCCCGTCTCGTTAGTCGTTAATTTATAGGTCTCATTTATTTTACTTTATTACTGATATGAGTTTATAATTTTAAATTTTTATAATAAATAATTTTAAAAAAATATTATATTTAATTTTTTTTATTATAAAATTTTTTTTAAAAAAAATATTATATATTAATTTAAATTAAAATTTTAAATTCACAAAATAAATAAGACCATCATGTTTTGATAGACTCAACGTTGGTTTCGACGTTCAATCTTTGGAATTATGTGAAAAGATGGTTGTGTTTGGTCTTATCTTCAAATGCATTGCTGGCTCTATTATGGCAAGTTTCGATTTTCTGACGTACTCATTTAGTCATTTTTGGATTTTGGTTAGGTTGGATGTGCAAAATAGAAAATTGCAATTTTTGATTTTTTGACATTCTCATTTAGTCAATTTTGGATTTTGGTTAGGTTAGATGTGCACTGACTGAATAGTAAAACCACAATTTTCAATTTTATGACATTCTCATTTGTCAATTTTGGATTTTGGTTAGGTCGGATGGACACTGACTGAATAGTAAAACTGCAATTTTGAGAAATATTTTATCGTTTGGTGTTTAAATAAGTTATTCTTAATTTTAATATTTGCAATTTTAAATTTTTTGTTTTGTGAGACAGAAATACTATAGCAGAATCAAAATCAGTGACATATCTCTCTGACAAAGCGGAAGTGTATAAAAAATAGGAAAAAGAGAACAAATTTCTATTATCCGTTGATTCGCATAGAATATCAAAAAACCCGTTGATTCAATCAGAATACTGAAAAATATGTGTTAATCACTCGTTGATTCAACAAAATACCAAGAAAATTATAATAGATATGTTGAGAGAACTCTCAAAGTACATAATTTTATTAATCTCTCAAAGAACTAAAATAACAAACTAAGACCTCCTATTTATAGAAAACTACCGTTCAGAATAGAAAAGAAAACTAAATCAAAAAGGAAATTAATTTGCAAAAAAAAGAACTGAAACTAATCCTAAATATCCCTAATTTGAAATTCATAATAATTTAGAACTAAGACTATAAGATATCAGGAAACAACTACAATAAAATAAAATACGAATTTGAATTAAATCGGCAACTTCTATCTTCAATTCCTCGTCTCATCTCTTCGCGCTGCATCAGACTCGCCGGGTAGGAAAAGATCAGTCCTTGAATCTTAAGTAGCCTCAACTGGTATGAAAAGAGAACTTTTATGATCTTTGCATGAATCGTCTAGAAATTAAATAATTTGTTGAACTTACTAACTCGAACCGTTAGAAATTTTTCTTCAATGGTAATAGCGTTGAAAACCAATATGGGATCTTACTTTTCTTCAAGTTGGGCGTCTCTGAATTCATAGGCAGTGGGCGCGTTGACATGGATGGTGGGGTGACGGTAAAGAACCATGGTTAAATTGATACAGGAGCGTTTCGGCTCTAGTGCCAACTGACGTAGGGGAAGAGTATAAAAAAATAAAGAAGGGGATAAATTCCTATTATCCGTTGATTCGCGTAGAATACCGAAAAATCCGTTGGTTCGATTGGAATACCAGAAAATATGACTTCTATAAACATGTTGATTCACACAGAATGTTAAGAAAACTGCTTCAAAATCCGTTGATTCAACAAAATACCGAGAAAATTAGAATAGATACGTTGAGAGAACTCTCAAAGCGCATAATTTTATTAATCTCTAAAAGAACTAAAATAACAAACTAAGATCTCCTATTTATAGAATACTACAATTCAAAATAGAAAAGGAAACTAATTCAAAAGGGTAGTTAATTTGAAACAAAAAAGGAAACTGAAACTTATCCTAAATATCCTTGATTTGAAATTCATAATTATTCAGAAACAAGACTAGAAGAGATCGGGAAACAACTAAAATAATTTAAAATATGAATTTGAATTAAATCGGCAACTTCTATCTTCAACTCCTCGTCCCATCTCTTCACGATGCATCACTCTCTCTCGCGTTAAAGCGAACTACCGCATGTTTTCGACTTAGATTTACATATGTCAAGAGATATAAATTATTGCACAAAATACCACAGTCATGTCATCATACTATATTTGAATTACCAAATATACTCTTAGGATACCGGTCAATATCCGGCCTTGATACCAGTATCCAATCGAGATATCCGACGGACAACCACTAGTGTTGGGGGTCGTAATCGACGGATAACTTCTAGTAACTGGTGACCGTTGTGATACTGGTCGGTTACTGATCATTAACCGTCGGTATCCACTTATATACCGGTATCCGCCATAGATACCATTGTATATCCAAGATGATATCGGCCGAAAACTGTAAATACCGGCGGTGCCACGACTGTTCCCATTACCGAAACACTTGAAAATCATACAAACCACAAAAAGATGACGCCGATATTCACCAAAAAATCCCAGAAAATATACAAACAAATCTACCAAAAATTCAAATTTAAAATACAAAAAACACAAAAAAATAATCCACAATTTATCATATCTCAGAAATTTAGATCATCAAAAAACACAAAACTTCTACAATACTCGTCTCGCTTTGACATTCTTCGACTATCATTTCTTGTTTTAGTGTATTCAGTAATTGAGGTTGACAGACTTTGGCCTCTAACAGCTGTGTCGATTTTTGCGGTGCCACGGCCTCTTCACTTGAGTGAATCCTGAAGTGAAGCACCGATGTTAAAGACAAGAGAATTTGCGACTCCTCCCCAACCTCTAGTACATGTTGGAGAGAAGCTGCGTTGGCGAGATCGTAGGCAAGTTATGGAGGTGAGAGCACAGGGCGCCTTGGCGTCACATGCAGATCTTAAAGTAGAAGGGACAATTCACGCGGTCCTTCTCGGTGTCGATGATTGAAGGCAAGTGCCCCACCATGGATTATATATTGTAGTATCTCGCTTCTTCTTCCTTGTTGCAAAAATCAAGTCAAATATGCAGCAAAGGGTGTAGCGGCCCTACTAGGTGGTCGTCACTGTAGCTGACTTTAATATATTTATACTTTCTAAAAACATCTGAGGAAAAAATTGCGGAACTTTTTTTTTAAATGTTATTTCAATGTTGTAACATTCTGAACATAAGTTTCTTTTCCTTTAAATGCTATCTCATTTTGAACATTAGTTGCTTTCTCCCAAAATGCTATATCATAATAACATAAGTTTTAATTTCCATTAAACATATTAAAAATGTTTATTCTTAAAACAATTCCTTTTCAAAAGCATAGATATATACATAGGTATGTACTTGCTTCTCAAATCTTGCAAGCTTACATGAACATAATATTCATATTACAAACTTCCAACATACTATGTTAGAGTTTTTCTTAGCAAAACTATTTAACACTTTAAAGTACTGCGGAAATAATTGCGTGCGGTATCCATTCCCTGATCTCCATACTGTTCATCCACTGCCTTGCCAATAGTCCATCAAGTATTTGATGCAGGTTGCTTACCTACAATATAAATACTCTATAATGAGCTTTCGCTCAGCAAGTAGGAACTATTTCTCGCAAAACTTATGTATGTTCACATGACTATATATGCATGAAATGATAATGTTGACTTATGATGTTTTATCATAGTTTTACTGTCTAAATTTATCTTATTTCCTGATGGGCTAGAGTGCTCGTACCATTACGCATAATCATCAGGACGTAAGGGTTTGCAAGGTCCCCAATGACACCGTGATTTTAAACTGAACTGAGTGCCTCCCTTGCGGAGGACTTTTTTTATGTATCTCCCTTGCGGAGTCTGATGACCTCCCTCGCGAAGGCTGGTACGACACTCAACTGAGTTTCTTCTTATAAGTTCCTCTAGACTTATTAAGGTGTAAGCAATATGACATAGCATAGCATACTATTACTATAACATTAAAAATATACTTAAACATATATAATTCATGTGTCATGTTTAAGTGTATGCAGTATGACATAACATAGCATACTATAACATGAAATGTACTTAAACACATATAATTCATGTGCACTGTTTATTTCAAAACAATTTATACTCTAGGCGAGATTCTGACTTACTTTATAAAGCTAGAATCCTCTATTCACCACATTGTCTGTTCTCTTTCTTACTTGTTTTTGAGAATAAACACACATTAAGAGTGTGAGATTTACTACCACTTGCTATTCCGTTTTAGCAAGCTTGTAAGAAAATGTAATTTCTCTATTTATCGTTTTATTTCTCTTTTTTACCTTAAAGGATTGTAAAACCTTGTTTCTAATTTAAAGATTAGGTTTATCAAATCCTCATAACCTTACTTTTCATTAAAGAAGATTCAAACTCAAAATACATTCTTAAGATTATACTTCGAGTTCTTTAACGAACTCTTATGTTTAACACTAAAACTGTTTTAACAGTTTTGGAGTGTTTTCTAGGAAAATATTTTAAAGCCTCTATTTAGAACTAAAATTAAGTTTAACTTCAAATTCCCAAACTAAAATCTGGCAAAGTTTTGCCTGATTTTCTGTGTTTCCCGAGCTATTCTCAGCTCGTCTTATCCATTAATCCAACTCTTAGGCATAACCCACAAACTTTCTCATATAATTTTATCTAAGGTTTCATCAAATTTCCCATAAGGATTTCCATAACTAAAAGTTTCTAGAAACATAATCTAACAACTAAAATTCAACCTTTAATCACTAAGTTTTCAATTCCTTTGTCAATGGAAATTAAATCATCATCTTAACCAAACTTTCTCCATTCTCTCTTCCACATCCAAGGTTCGGCCAAGGTAAGAGAAAGGAGAGGAAAAATTAAAATCTCACCTTAAAAGAATGAAGAACAAACTCAAGAGTCACCAATCCTCGGTAGTTTGATCAATTTCTGATTAAAACTTGCCTTTCTTCACTTTTGGTAATTTTTTTCTTCTCTCTCTTGGATGAACACTCACTGGTTTTTGGCATCAAAAAGAGTGTTATATTGTGTTTTTACACTTAAAAAAACGTTGGAGGAAG